GGGGGGGGGGGGGGGGGGGCAATTATGGCTTTGGAATATAACGCACGGATACCTATATAGACGCGCGTCCTGTCAAGGAAGAGCTTCGCAGGGAGGGTTCCTTTGAATTCTATGGTATAATGCGCGTCGCGCTGCCTGTGCACACCGTGACGAGGCGAAACTAGTATAGCTGATCGGTGCGCACGGGGCCTTCTTCGTCTCTCGACAAAGCAGGTGTACATACAGCCCTCTTCTGGCATGTAAGAATAAAAAAAAAAGAAAAAAAGATTGTGAAAAGTAAAAGAAGCGAGGGAAGACGCGCGCGCGACACGTTATTTCGCCTCGACTTGGCAATTCTTCTTCGCTACATGTACGTATACTATAACATTGAACGTCTGTATACTCGTGTCTTCTTTTCCTAGACACGCGGCCTTGATCAAAACTGACGCGGAAACGCGTACGTATATGTACGTGTATAAGAGCGACAGGAGCGTCGACTTTTTAAAATTCACGTGCTCCCCGGACAAGCGCTTGGCTTTTCACTACACACATACACACACATAGGCTCGCGAAAACGAGACAGACGTGAACGTAAGATTCATATAGAGCACAGCTTCGGGAGCACGGAGATGTCTTGATTCCCTCGCACGCTACGCCTCGAGGTATATATACGCGTAGGCTTTATATGTATGTAAGGAAAAAAAAAAAGGAAAGAAGTCGAAGATACGCGTGTGATGGACGTTTATTCGATTTGTCCCTCTTCCTGCTCTTCCTACTACTTCTTCTTCTTTTCCTTTTGCCAAGCGCTTGAAGTACGTGACGAGCTTTTTGTTCCCATCTTGATTTCTCTCGGCAGAGACGCAGTGTAAGAGTAGTGCCGTAAGAGCGCGACTACAGCGAGAAGAATCTCGGGGAATCGGATCGGGAGACGAGGAAACTTAACGCGGAATAACTAATGCATCGATAAACAGACCCAAGTGGGCGCGGCGAGGAGACTCGCTTTCGCCGTGAGAGACGTTGAGGAATATCGAGAAGATATCGCAGTAGGAGGGAGAGAAAGAAAAATGACGAGCCACTCGAGCGAATGTAAAATAAACAGAAGGGAAAAATAATAATAGGAAGAGTATAATAAGCTACAAAAAATAACAACCGCGCGATATTGGCGAGTAATCAAGCTATCGCCGTATATACTTAATGAATAAAATTTTCGACGCCGCGTCGAATCGAGTCTCGTTACGTTGTATTGTCGCTCGCTTGCCTACTATACTGCTCGGCACGTTCACATCTGCCTCTCTCGCCTCGCGTATACACACGAGAGATCCCGCACTTGGCAAGTAGTAATTGGTGAGATTAGTCGGACTCTCTCTCTCTCTCTCTCTCGCGCAGAGTTATAATACGAGCCGAGCTTTGACTCTTGCGTTCTGGTAACTATACTGGCAACGAATCATGTACAGTGTGTATAAGTCACTCCCCCGGCTTAGGCATAAACACGATTTATCGCGTACCAACTTTTTTTTTCTATTCTCTTGTACAACCGCCTATAAACGGTGCACCACCGCTGCTACGTCGACTACTACTACTACTACTGCCATAAGCTTTATTATAGCTACCGATTCTTCACCCCCCACGTGCCCATACACATTATGTAATACGTCCAAAGTCGTCGAAGTGAGAGAGAGAGAGAGAGAGAGAGAGTCGAGGGTGTCGCGTCGAGGGTGGCGTTTCGTAATCAAGGCGCATAAACATATCACGACGGGGCCTTCGAGAGAGAGAGAGGCTCGATCGTCGCCGAAAATTCCTGTATACGCTTATATACCGGCAGCCGCTCGAACAAAAGCAGTAACAAAACGCGCGCAGAGCTTCTACATATATATACGACGATATATATGTACATGTATGCGTGCGCGAGAAAGGGTGGCTATTGAGAGAAAGAGAGAGAGAGAGAGAGGGCGAGGGTGTGCGACTCCAACCCCCCCCCCTTCGCCTTCCCCGTATACGCGCCATATATATACCATAATACCGTGTGCGTGTATATATATACGAGCGCGCAGATCGGAGAGAGAGAGACTTGGCGCACAAAGAGACGCCGGCGTGCGCTTGCGCGAACTGCCACTACTACTACTACCACTATTACGTAGCTATATATATATACGGCAGCCGTATAAATGTGTGTATATACACAGCGAAGCGTACGAATAGGGGAATACACAGACGCGGCGACTCGACCGCGTGCGAATTCGCTGCTCTCTCCGTCTCTCTCTTTCTCTCTCTACTCTACTCTATTCTACGTTGGCGACGTCGACGTCGAGCTTGCTGCTGCTGCTGTGTAGGCAGAGCGTCGAGGCTCTGCTTTCAGTGCAGTCCGCGCCCTCGCCAAGCTCGCTTCTTCTTCTTCTCGCCCCCTCGTTGGCAAGTTCGTTGCTCGATTGTGTGTGTGTGTATTATAAGTATACGATAATATTATAAACTCGACGGGCTCGTTGTGTTTTCTCTACTTTCTACAGAGTACCGGCTGCAGTGTGCACGAATTTACATCGATACATTCGCGTTTCCTTTTGTTTACGTTATTTCATTTTTTTTTTCGGGGATCGAGCTTGCGAGTGTATATTGTACACGAGACGCCTCGAGTTTGAGTGATGATCGCGCTAGTGAAAGTCGTAACGTTACGAGAGTGATACGAGAACGCGAGGCATCGAAAGAGACGCACGGAGAGAAGAGGAACAATTACACGAGCGACGCGTGTGTCATTAGTGCAGTCGCTTATCTTGGCTTGTCGTCGTCTCCGTCGTCGTCGTCGAGCTACGAGAAAGACGATTTCGTCAAAACAAAAGGTGTGCAAAATACATACAACAATTTCACGAACGAGTAATTACACGAAAGCGCGTGATAGAAAGGGGAGCTTTATTATATATCTCGTTTGTACGCAATCGCAATCGACATCGTGTCGACGGCTTATATCCTAGATTAATCGACGGATACAAAAAATCGAACGATCGAATTTGAAATACGATACGGCTTTTACGTTCGTATATGCACGCGATAATGCATTATGTATCCCCGAAAAGCACGCGCGCGCGATTGTACACTTCGCAGTCGGATTCGACGCTTTTCATATGTACATATAATACCATACACGACACAAACAAATAGATACACATTTACGGACGCGCGCACATTTGTCAGTGCCGCTCTCTCGACTTCGTGCATACATACGTACACATATATATGGTTGTTAATTCTCGCTAAACACCGTACTCAATTATCCGTCCGTCTCTCGCTTGACTATCTGCGCTTCTCTCTGTCTCTCTCTCTCTCTTATGCTTCATGAACATGTGCATGTGCGTTTCTCTCGTATGCTCTCGTATGCATCATCTGGCTTCTGTATATACAGAGAGCTTTCAAACACGCGTAGAGGCATAATAAAAAGGAGCTGGATAATAAAAAAAATTTGCTCCTTACACTCTCTTTTTTTTCGTTTTTTGTCGTCTCGTCACATTTTTTTTTTCTCGGCACTCGCCGAAGACGACGACGAGCAAAAAAAAAAAAGAGAGCGAGAGAGAGAGAAAGAGGAAAGAATTTATAACTCGCTGTTTTTTTGGCACTCGCGAGGCGAGCGAAGCATACAGAGGAGAGGACCGGCTCTTCAGAGCTTTGGAAGCAGCTGTGTGCGTATAGCGGTGTTATACAGCTGCAGCTCTAGCTCGTTCTCTGTCTCTCTCTCGAGCTATAGTCGGTTTGTAGCTTGTGACAGGTCGTTTTTCTCTCCCCCTCGGTATCCCCAAAAACGTGCGATATCTTTCGTTCGCTCTCTCTCTCTCTCTCTCTCTTTCTCCGCCTTCTTGCCTCGTGCGTTTTTTTTCTCTACTCTCCGCGTCTCCCTGCTCCGACTATCAAGAGAGTTTGAGACAAAAAAGAGAGGAGGGAGAAATGTATAAAATAAAATAAGAGAGAGAGAGCGTAATTGGAGATTTCGCGTGCGTTTTTTGAATAATCGCTCGCTCGTTTTCCTTACCTCTCTACACACGCTAGTCGGAGAATAAAAAGTCGAAACAGAGATAGAGAGAAATTACAAGGTATTCAACATGTTAATGGTAAGGGAAATTACGGGCGTGTGCTCTACGTATTTTCTTTCGCTCTACAGGTTCGAAATTGCATACTGCCTCGCAGTGCAGTGCAGTGCACACACACTGCGCGAGTAATCCCGCGCGTAAATTAAATTAAATTTCAAGAAACACGAGTGTGCACGCCGCCGTGGCTGCACTGTGCGCAGCACTCGTGCGTAATATACATCGTATTGTATAGATATGTAGATGCCAACATCTTGCCTTGCCTCTGGGCGCGCCGCGCGATATTTGCTTCGCCCGCGCGCGCGCATTTATATATGGACGTAATGTCGAAAGTAGTTAGCGCAGCAGCGGCTCACCCTTCCTTTTGCAGTCGAGCCGCCCGAGAGAGCTGAAATTACGTAATCTCCTTTTACTCCCTTGGCGCCGCTGCGCGCTCACGAATATATAGCGTATATATATAATATAGCTAGCACAAGTACGAGCATCGAAAAAGTCTCGGTCGTATTCTCTTCTTTCTTTCTTTCTTTATAAACGCCGCAGCCAGCTCACACACGTGTCGTGTGCAAGCTCACGGATCATCGAGTTCAGTGGTAGTAGGTAGCAGGTGCATTCGATTCGTATTCCGTGCGGTATACGCGCGTCCGTATAATACATCCGACGATTCCGCAAAAAGAGCTCGATAAAAAATTTCGGGAGAGAGAGAGAGAGAGAGAGAAAGGAGGGAACTTTATAACGCCGTCGTAGAAAAGCTTCGGTCGCGACTCGTGGAATTTAGATCAGGGTTTCTGGAGCACGCGTAGACAGCACGGCTCTGCGCTCTAATAAAGTTCTCCGCGTTACTTCGGGGGCTAATAAAGTGATACTCCAGGCCTTTGCCAGCTTCCTATATATATACGTATGCGTGTAAATGTGTACGCTCGAGCCTCCACCCCAGTGTTGTATATGCTGTCCTCAGCAGCTGCAGCGGCAGCAGTGGCAACTCGACTCGCGAAAGCTCTCGAGCTTCTCCTGCGTGAGTACGTTTGTATATGTCCGTGCCGAGTGTAAGTGAAAGCGCGCGAAGAAACGTTGACTCGCTGCTGGATTTGACGCGCTTGGGCTAAAACTCGAGCTCTCTCTCTTTTGTACATTGTTTTCTTTCCTTACTTTTACTTTGCCCTTGTGCTGTTGGCCAGGTGTCAGCGCCCTTCTACTCGTAGGAGCTTTAGAAAAAAAGCGACCTTATATTATATAAAGCTCGATCCAACGACCCTTCTTGCGGTATAAAATCAGTTTTCTATTTTTTTTTTTTTTTTCGAAAGTTTCGAGCGCGATATTACATACGTAATACGGTGGGGCCTGCCTGCCTGCCGGGGCTTGTTTTTCAGCCTCGCTCCCGCGCATATATACCCGTCGGCGCAAAATCTTGGCAAAATTGTATAAAACTTCGTCGGCCGTAGAGCTTCGCGTACACTTCGTACCGACTTGTACATATCGCATTATATACATCTACGCGTTTCTCGAATGTAGAGCAGCACAGCGCGCCGAGGCAAGAGTAAAAAAAAGTATATACACCAAAAAAAAGACTCCGAGCTTATCGATGTAATAACTCCACGTTTCGTGTGTATGCGCGCGTGTATAAATGCACGCCACAGACCGACGAACTTGCTCGTCGTCATCTCTCTGCAGGCCTCCGAAACTTTGCTGCTGCTGCTGCAGCACTGTAAGAGGCAGCTAGAGCTACAGCTACAGCTCTCTCGAGCTTGCACACGTCATACGATCTCTCGTACACGACATTATACACGCGCGCAGTGCAGTGCACAGGTGTCGTCGTCTCTGTACGTATAGCGCACATTTATATGTAAGCGTCTCTTCTCTAACGCGTCGTAAATTTTCCCTTCCGTACTTGCGAGCTCTGTGCTGCTGTAGCGCATGGAAGCCGTTTCGCGTTACACGCACACATTTGTAATATGCTGCAATACGCGCACGTGTCGCCGAGGGTACACTTGAATCGTCGTCGTCGTCGCCCTGCGTAGTTCGCGCTATTGTACCTACTGTTATACGTATCACGCGTTCGAACGATTCGCTCGCGATCGTCGCGCGTCTGTATAATTTCGAGATTCTTCGTACGCGTACCTTTTTTTTTCTTCTTTATTTCCTTCCTCGTACATATATTAACGATAAACGTAGTATACATCGCAGGCTGAGCTCGGCTCGGCGTACGGCAGCGAACCGAGGAAAGTTCGATCGCTCGTAATGAAATTAAATCCTAATCCAATATATATACACGCTATATACTGTATAATATATACGTACGATCACCTGCATCCCTCGCGCAAAATTCCTTAAAGCTCATCCCCGAAAGTAATTTAGTTTGCCTCGTGCGCTCCCGATCGGAGCTCTCTCCCTCTTCCTCTCCGTGTATTATATACATTCTTCCTCGCGGGGATTCGATTAATGCTCGCAGTTCTATTATACGAGTCGGCGGCAATTAAGTTTATCCTTTTATATACGTAAGACAATGGATGTAGGGAGGGATTCACGCTTCTTTTATGATTATATATACTTATATATATACGTGCACCCTTGACCCCCTTGGACGCGAAGCCCGCATATAAACGAAGAAAAAGCATAGCGCGAGAAAATAAAAGGGAGAGAAAAAAAAGTTTTAGCGCGGCGCGCGAAAGAATCGGAATCGCTTTCTAAAACTTTATTCAATTCGCGCGCCGAACAATCGTGCCGCGCTACGAAGCTCTATATAGGATATAGTAGTTTTCTGTGCGCCGCGCAGTGGCTTAAAATCAAACAAAAGCGCCAAACACAAAACGAGTCGAGCTTTAAGCTCCTATACGGACGTATACCTACCTGCGCGTATAACGATTGGCACGTACATACACACGCGCGCGCGTTTCGCGTTTCTGAGCTTGACAGGTTTGGCGCCCGGCCCCTCCGTGTTTTCGCGCTTTTGCGCTCATTCGAAAAGACTGCAGCTTTTGCAGCACCACCCCCTACTGGCACACATACACATACACATACGGTCGTATATACGTTCCCTGCAGCTGGTGCCTGGTATACTGCTGCCGTTGGCGCCGTCAACGCGCTTTTAATACCCGGTACGTGCCGAAGCAGCAGAGAAAGGCGGCCTGTCTGCGCGCGTGAATTTTTTCCCTCTCACCCTCCTACCCCTACCCCGTGTCTTTATTTTTTCCGTTTGTTTGTTTGTTCGTTTGATTGAAGTGTGTAGTGCGTGAGTGCAGCGCGAGTACGCGTGCGAGCGAAAGATATATATAGAAACAGAAATTTTCGTTGAATGCGGAGCTGCGAAGGAGCTGCGCTGCTGCTCGCTTAGAGAGAGAGAGAGAGAGAAAAAAAATAGGTAGTAGCAGTAGTAGTATAAACTGCAGCAGTAGCGGTAGTGCGCGCGAATGCGTGCCAGGAGGGAAAAACTTTCGAGCCGTTTCTCTCTATTTAAAAAATCGTACAGTACAGAGCTCCTTTCTTTGAGCTTGAATAATATAGACCTCGCCCAGTAGTAGTAGTAGTGTGTATACCGCTTTTTCTTGTACAAACGCGCAGCGCAGCGCGCTTAATACACAAAATAGAGAGAGAGTAGGGGGCTAAAAGATTTGCTGCAATCTGTTTTCACCGAGGCCGGCTAGTGTAGGGAGTATACAGAGTGAAAAATAAATAAATAAATAAAAAAAGAGAGAGAAAGGAGTGCAGGCTCTCACAAAAGTTGAGGAGAACAAAACGGAAAAAGAGAAAAAAAAAAGACCGGTAAACTGCGTGTGTTTTTTTTTTCGTCGTCGTCGTCGTCGTCGTTGTTGTGTTGCGTCTCTCCCTTTCATTTGGGCATAAACGGCTTAATTTTCTTCTTTAATACTCGACTCGGCGCCGCGTCGTGTCTATTATACATCGTCTCTCTTTCTCTCGTTTTCTTCTTTCGGGGCCGCGGTGCCACTCTAGGGCCAATATAGACAGCAACAACAGCGGCGAGAAAGGAAAAAAAAAGGGTAAAAAGGGTGAAATTAAATGAAATAAAACAAAGCACAATTGGGTGAAGGTGGGCTCGCGCGCGCACAAAAGTTAAAGAAGGAAATTCGGTAGGAATGACTTGTTCCGCTTATACGGCCCTTCTCGTTTCTGTTTTTTTTTCGTCTTTTTGCTCTTACTTCATGTGAGCGAACGAGTGGAAAGGCCTGAGCGTTAAATTGGATCCACTTTCGCCCGGCATCTTTTCTTCTACACTGCTTTTCTTCTTCTACTTCTCGCTCTCGCTCTATCTCTCTCTCTTTTTTAACGAGCTGCTCGAATGTGATTGCAAAAAAGGAAAAAAAAAGAGATACCGTTTGACGAAATCTCGCTCTCGCCGTCTTTTTACCTACTTACGCCTCTTTTTGTCTCTCTCTCATTATATCTACGTTCTCGACTAATCAAGAAGCGTAAGAAACAAGAGCAGGAGGAAAAAAAAGCAGATTGCCCAGCTGTGTAGCAACTGCCATATATAAAACGTTAGAATCCGCACGTCGACGCCGCGCGCGTAACATTTATATTATACGAGCGATGAGTGCGAAACGCGAGGGGTTAAAAAAAAGGTGTATATAGAAGAAGAGAGAAAGAGCGGGAAGCGTTAAATATTTTATGGAAGGCCGTAATACATATACACACGTACGTACGTTTGCTCTCTCGCGAAACGAGAGTTTAAAGTACACACGGGTGGCCGTCGTATACAGTTGCAGCTAGCCCATTGCCAATAATACATAATTGAACGCTTGACGCATAAAATATTCCAATTTGCTCTCAATAATGCAGCGATTTTCGTTCTCGCCGGCTCCTTTCTCCGATCTCTCATTGCCCTCTACTGCTGCTACTGCTGTATACACACTAGCGCACTATAATGCACAAAGTGTATATTATGCGAACACGATGTTAATGTATCAATATTTCAAAGGCACAGCTCTCGGCTGCAGCGCCCAATGGTATATAATGCAGCAGCAGCAGCAGCGATCGCTGCTGCCGCTTCGCGGAAGAAAATTTTTCAATGAAAGTCAATTTAAATTTTAATTAAAAACGATTAAAGCGACCGGAAAGGAAAAATTAGCATTGTTATTCGATGGGCTTGAAAATGTGCTTTAATGCACTTGCTCCGCGAGTCGAGCTTCTCTACTGTATATATAATATATTATCTCGTCGGCCGCCGCCGCCGACGCTTTGGCGACGACGACCTAGAAATGTACATAGACGGACGGACTCGCGGTCGGCTATCTCACTATGGGTGCGAATTCTCCTCTTTCTCTCTCGTACTCGATCGAAAAGATAGTTAAAGTCTTGATTTAATTGAGCCACGGGGGCTGCCGCCACCACCGCGTCGTATAACAATTAATTCCAGGCCGATGGAAAAGCTCTACTACCTATAATATATATAACTACTACGTATAGAGCTGCGAGCGATTTCTGAAATTTCCTCCTTCCCCGCTTTTTTTTCTCGATTTTTTTCCCTGATCCCTGTAACAGCTCTCCTCCCCCTGCCCCGACGCAATTCTCTCTCTCCCTCTTTCTCTCCGTCACTGTCATTCTTTTCTCTCTCTCTCTCTTCTGCAAGCTCCGATAATTTCTTTTATCCCCGGGATTTTTTACTCACCCCTCGGCACGCGGTCGTCGTGCCGGAGTTTGTTTTTTCTCACTCTCGTCAAGGTGTATATGCAAAAAAGAGAGGGAGAGAGAGAGAGAGAGAAAGAGGGTAAGCCGAGCTCGGCACTTACCTTATCTTCTTATCTTACAGTCGCTCTCTCTCTCTCTCTTTCTCTTCTTTGCGCCTCGTCTCGAGTCATCTCGTCTATACACTGCGACGAGTATTATATAAGAGTTTAAAATTCACTCAGGGAAAATTTATACAGCGCTATAGGGTTACCCGTTATCGCTACATACGTATCTACGTTAACGATTTTTCCTTCATTTTTTAACAATATCTAACCCGTTTTCGTAATTAGCTCGTAATGTTTTTGTCGACAGGTCGTACAAATAAACCGCTTCAAGCTGGCAAGCGGATCCGAGAAGCAATTTTGAGAGGAGAAAAAAAAATGCCGAACGATCAACGGAGCCCTCGGCACTCGAGGCAGTCGATACGCCTCCTTACGAGCTTGGTCGTCGTCGTCGGTTATCGTCGCCATCACGATCGTCGTCGCCTTCAGCAGCAGCAGGACGATCGTCGTTGCCGTCATCATCCGGCCTTCGTGTGAATCTCGAATAAAGAGAGAAAAAAAACAAACAAACGAACCCCGGAAAGATAAGGGAAAACTGAGTCAAGAGAAGAGAGAGAGAGAGAAAAAAAAATGACCGAGTGACGATTGAGTGCGTAAAGAAAAAAAAAAGAAAAATTGTGTGCATCTGCCCCGGATCGTGTGTCGTGCGCGTTTTTTTCGGAATCGTATCATCCCTATACGTGTGGCGCGCCGCTGCCTATGCTGATCTATCGTAAAATGGTATCAGGCTGCTGGTGTCCGTGCGTGCCGTCGCTGGCTCGTCGCAACACGACGTCCTCGTCGTCGACCCAACCGCAGCAGCAGCATCAACCGGAGTATTATAATCATCAGCCGGCGGCGGCGGCGGTGGTCAACAACGGCGGCAGTTCCTCCGCTGCCGCTCGGGCCGGTATTAACAATAACAAGAGACGCGGCGGCAGCGGAGTCGGCCGGCCGTTCAGCATAAGCGCAGCCACGGAGCGCGCCGACATGGTGCAGATGTTCTACTACGAGAATCGCGGCAAGTGCTGCCGCAAGCTGCTCAGATACAACGGATATCCGAACAAGGTTGGTTGATTCATTATTACATTTTTTTTCCTCCCGCGGCTCAAACTTTCGACTCCGATTTAGAACGCGCGGCTAACGAGTTTTGGACGAGAGTAAACTTAATTGAATCGATGCGCGCGAAGCTCGCATATACGTATAGAAAAGAGAGAAGCGAAAAAGTGCGAGTGCTAGGTATACCTTGTTACGATATTTTATATATAGAACGCTCGAAAATGAAAAGACGAAAAAGAAAACGTGGTTAGAATCTAATTCGCGTCGCGATATCGTCTGGCGTTACTCCGCGCCGGCGCCAATTAGTATTATATGTAATTTACAAGGCGAATACATATATTTTCGAGAAAAAAAACATCGGCACACATTTTTCCTCGTAATTAAATTCGCGCGATAATTAAGAACTTTGTATATTTTCACGTACGAATTAGTTAGGCGTATAAAAACTCTATTAGGTACGTGAAAATTTTTTCTTTTCTGCTTTTTTTTTTTTTAATTAAACATACGCACATATTATATGGTCGCGCGAGGCACATAAATATCTGCGTCACGTACGTGTACACGAGCTACCCGTCAAAGTGTATACAGGTATACATACGTAGCAATTACTCTTGCTGAATTGGGATGAACCAAAAAAAAAAGGAAGAATTTTTCGTTCATCCCGCGTTCGAACGGCAGTCCCTCTCTCGTTTATTATTATATATAATACCTGCGAGCGCGGCGAATAGTCGAAAGAATTTCCAATTTAAATTCGCTACGATACAAAAGGAAAGGAATAATAAATATATATATATATATATGTATGAAAAAAAGGAAAAATCCTTTTTTTTTCTACATACATGTATATTCGGTAGAAAATACGAAACGTCGCTCTCTTTGTCGTGTGTACGGTTTATAATTTTTTCTTCTACTCTATTTTTTTTCTTTTTCGGGAGATGGGGGTTTTCGCGTGTACCGCTGCGCATCGCTCGCTCTTTGGCCCTCCCGACGACGAGCGCCGTGTTAATTCGACGTGGAAAAGAACTCGCAACGAGGCTGCGCAGAGTTGGAGCTTTTTCTTCCTTTTTTTTTCTTCTCCTCTTCGTTGTCGCTGTTGTTGCTGTACCAGCGCTCTGTGTGGTATATATATATGTACGCTGCAACTATACTGGCGCGCATTCGTAGAAATAAAACGCGCGGCACACACGACCGAGAAAGAGAGAGAGAAGGAGATCGTTAGGCGGGCTTGAATAAGCGGAAGAAAAAGACAAGCGAGCGAGTAATAATGTATTGTAATCGAAAACAAAGTGGAAATTTCAAGGCTTCGTGGATTCTCTCCTTCTTTCTCGCCTCACCTCGTCGAAATTTGCATAATATTTTCTCGCGTCGACTCGGCGTGCTGCCTCGGCAATCAGCTTCTATAACTGTCTTCCCAAGAAAGTTTCGTTTGGCAATTTTTTTTTTTTTTTTCATAGTACAGATTGTAACGCTAATCACAGTTTGCACAGTGAAAAATTGAAAACAAGGATTACAAGGCTTTAAGGGGGGTTAATAATTTTTTTTGAGCACATAGTAAAATTAATTTATCTACAAATTATACACATTATTAATAGTTATTTGAAGAACATTAAGTTAAACGTTCAGCTAAAAATATTGAAAAATAAGCCAACTACAGTAAATTTTCTCGCACAACTGAAAAAAAAAAGATCGATTGCAGTGGACACTGTAAATGAAAATCTACTCGACCGATTCTTTCCAAATTTTTCCCACTATTTAACTATACAAATTATGAGATAATGACGTCGAGATATTTCGTTTAAAATGATTTTTAAGTTTTTGGCATCATTTTAAAGTGAAAAAAATGACTTTTTTGACAAAATGAAGGCAAAAATTCATCGTACATGTTGGTAAAAAGTATTTAATAATGTTAAAAGTTAAATTATCTCAACGTGATTTATACGGTTATTGTGACTTTGCCACTTGCATATTTATAGATGTAAGTATTCGCCATCTAGCGGCAGAATCTCGAACTGGTATCATTATCGTATTCAAAGTGATTGAAAACTAGTCTAAATTTTATAAAACGATTTAATTGACATTTTCAATTTCAGTAATTTTTCGGTTAACAGACCATCATAAATGTTGTACATTTTTACCAGTGGTAAAAAACGTTGAAGAAACTTCCGCGCGACACTCGCAATCACCCTTCGTGCGCGCTCTTTTGTCATTCAACTTCTCTCGTACACTACCCATTTTTTCCGTCAGAATTTCAAATCGCTCGTTCGAGACAATGCGCAGTGTGGTACGGTGACGAGCTCTCCGTACGTACATCTACACGCATACATATATACACGGTAACGCGTATACATTTTATAAACAAATCTCGTGGGGGGGGGGGGNGGGGGGGATCGTAGCAGCGCCGCGAGCTGCTGCCGCGTGACACTTGGCTCTCGTTCGAACTTTGAAATCTTCGTATACACGATACACAGGTAGGGAGATCTCACTCTCTAGCTCTCTAGCTCTCTCTAGCCCAAAACCACACACTTGTTAGTAGTTTCTCGTTCGCCTGCAGCACTGCTAGCTGGCATATACATGCATATACACGCGAGGCCGCGTGGCTTAATCCAAATAAGAAGTCCAAAGAGAGAGAGATATATATCTAGGATACACAGATACGTAAGAGTCGAGCGAGCTGCCTGGGAAACTCAGGCTTCTCCACTATACTAAGCTCTCTATTTGCCAGCTATAGGTAACGCGCCGCAGCGAGTGTGCGTATCTAGCTTCTCGCTCTGCCTCGGCGTTTCTCTCCCACGGCCGATCCCTTTTGGCAATATCCCCGCAAAAGTGTCGGTCGCATTAAATTCCTATATTCGTGCACACCGCGGGGTTAAGTAATACGCGCGAGCTGATCCGGGGCACGTATATATGCATAGGATAGGCCCGATATTTTCAATATATACCTCGAGACTGTATGTGGAGGTACTCTTGCCGTGGCCCCCTTTTTTTTTGTTCCTATATATACTTTGCTATATAGCTAGGAGAGGTAATGGCAAACTTTTCTCTCGCTACTCGTGCACTACTGCTCTCACCCTCGAACCGAACGAAATTGCATTTTATCGGTCTTCTCAACTATACTGCTTAATCCAATCGTCCAAGTCTTGATTTCTCTCCTCGAAGCTACTTTTTCCTCTACTTCTTCTTCAGCTTCATCTCTCGCTCTTTCTTTCCTTTTTTTGTGCGCCCTGTACAAAAGTGCGGTTATCGCGCAACTTTCTCAATGGTTTTATTAGGTCTAAGTGGTGAAATGAATTATCCTCCCTTATTTCTCTTATCGCTCGTAGTATATATGCGATAAAAGCTCGGCGGTGCGCAAGCTCTCGATAGCAATGAACCGCGGTACGTGCGTGTACGACGACGACGATTCTCGACTTTCAATCGTAATCAATGCGTTCGTTTTGTATAATATTATTCGGTGGTTCGATAATTCGAGCGGACAAGTGGAAGGAGAAAAATTCGTTCTACTACGTGTATGTGTGGCTCGTTATACATGTGGGCGCGGTGCGGGTATACATATACGTTGGATGCCTCTCGGAAGCATCTCCCGAGGGGATTTATAGCGTGTGTGTTAGATATATATAGCTATATACATAGGCTGACTGCGAGCAGAGTGTGGCTTGCGGCCGAGCAGATCTACTCGTCCTTTGGGGTAACTCTCTCGGCTCTGTAAACATCGGCCCGCTTCCTTCCGGATTGCCTCGTCTGCGCGAGCGAGCGAGCTTTTATCGCTTATATTTTGTACCCCGTGGCATTAAAGGTCTGCGAGTAAAAAAAAAAAAGAAGAAGAAGGAAGGAGGAGGAGGAAGAGAGTAACGACTTGTTCGGGTCCTAATTTCGTTATATACTGGGGAGAGAGCAAAGAAGAAAAAAAAAAGAAGAAGACGAGTAGACGAGGTAATAATAATAACGAGCTCGCGATTTTTATACTCGATCGTGTAGTATAAAGTATCAAGTCATCGTCCTAGTCGGACGGTCTAGGTACATCGCTGATTGGAAACTCCTTTCCTTCCTGAAAACTTTTCTTTCTATCTTTACCTTTTTTTTGTTATATCAATATAAAAAGCCCATTAGCGTGTCTCGAGCATACAATTTTTTCGTCGCTCTTTACTTCATTCCTGTCTCTCCTGCTACCTCCTCCTGCTCGTCGTTGTCGTCATTATACGCGCGCGTATCTATATACAGAGCGAGCTGAGAGGAAAAGCTCTTTCCCCGGGCTTAGCTGCAGCAGCTCACAAAAGGACAGCATCAGCGCGCGCGCGCGCGACCTATCTGCAGATAAATCGACTCGTTATCCCTGCGCCACGAAAAAAAAAACCCCAATACTTCGGAGCGAAAAAAAGTGCAGGAAAAAAAAACGAAGGAAACTTTCGGATGTATACGCGCGCTGTACGGTAAACGAAAGGCGAAGAGGGAGGGGAGGGGAGAATCGCGTACGCGAATTACGTAACATAGCTCTCTGGCGCATGGGAAAATTGGGCTAATGCCTCCGTTTTCTCCTCCCCTCGCCGAAAGCGCGTTTCTCTCTCTCTCTCTCTCTCTCTTCCTTTTTTCTCCCCTATCTCTCGCAAAGTGAGGTAAAGTACGCTTTCCTTTCATACGAATTATACATGCCTGCATCCCCAGCAGCAGCAGTAGCATACTACCTATATTATAGAGTCTCTTTAAAGCGATCGACTCTCGCGCGACGCGCAAATATACGGAAGCGCATTTGCGCACCGACGGTATAGAGCTGAAAACATTATATCCACTATATACCTGGTATCCGATCGCGGAACAAAGAAAAGAGAGAGAGAGAGAGAGAGAGAGAGAGAGAGAGAGATCTCCGATATCATTATGGAGATCACCTTGCTTTTTTCCTTTTTTTTATTTCTTTTCTTTTATTTTCGTTTCTACCGCACGATCGATCTATCTCTCGCTCGATATGTATGAATGTGACTTTCCGACTTGTGTGCGCGGAACAAAAATGCGAAAAT